GGGAGAAGGGGTGAGTCATACCTTAACCCACTGGACTGGGTCTAACAGTAGTAAGGTAGGTCCTGAGAAAGAAGCCAAGGCAACAGAACTCTAGGGGAGGTTGTCTGGGGCGGTATGTTACAACATGGCGGTCCCAGTGGGGAAATGCATCCCTCCCCTGCAAGATGCCAGCACCCCAGAGCAAAGCCCAGCTCTGGTCTGGGAGCGTTTGAGCTAAGGTGCTTATCCTGGGATGAAGACTCCAGAGGGTCACGGCATCAAGATGGTGCAGTGGATAGAGCACCAGCCCTGGAGCTGGAAGGACCTAAGTTCAAATCTGGCCTCAGACACTTACTAGCTGTATGACCTTGAGCAAGTCACTTAACCCCGACTGCCTCAAAAAAAAAAAAAAAAAGACTCCAGAGGATCTGTGAACATTGATGGGAGAAAAATGACACCTTTATTTTCACAAACCTCTAAGAGAAAGTTGTCATTTCTTTCAGTTATTTAAAAACATGACTCTGAGAAGGGGTCAATTATCCTCACCAGACAGTCCAAAGGGTCCATGATGGAAAAAAAAAGATTAAGAGTCTCTCTTCTAGGGAAAAAGCCTTAAATGTGCTGGTAAGCCCTTTGGCGGCGAGAATCCTCTGTCAGCTAGAGAATGACAAGGGAAGGGATCCATTTCTTATCCAAACAGGATCAGTCAATCAATCAACAAGCATTTACTAAGTGTTTACTATGTCCCAGTCATTTAGCTAGGCATTGGGGATAGGAAGAATGAGTCAACAGCAATCAGTAAAAAGGCATTTATTAGGCATTTACTATGGACTATGCTCCAGGCACTGTGCCAAGTCCTAGAGATACAAACAAAGACAAAAACATAGCTCCTTGACCTCAAGAAGCTCACAGATAAATGGCAGGGGGTGGGGTGGGAGTGGGGATGGACCAAACACGCCTACATATTAGATACATATGGTCTAAATGAAAGGTAATTTATGGAGAGAAGGCACTAGTGGTGGGGGGAGGTGTGGGGACTAGGAATAGGATTTAAACTGAGTCTTGAAGGAAGCCAGGGAAACCAGGAGGCAGAGGTGAGGCACGGGGCACAGCCAGGGCAAAGGCCTGGAGATGGGAGATGGGAGGGCCCGTAAGTGAAGAACAACAAAATGGATCTATGATTTTTAGTGGTGTAGGGAAGTCCCAGGTGAAGAAATTCCTTCCATCAGTGCAAGGCAGCGCCTTTTTTACAACTTAACGAGTTGCCTGGGACAAGGAGGGGGTGTGATTTGCTTAGGTTTACAGCAGCTACTATGCATCAGAGGCAGAACTTTTCAGTTCAGGGAAGTGGCTCTTTCTCTAATTCCTGCCCTCAGGGAGCTTCCATTTTCATGCAAAAAGTAATGGTGATTGTTCCCCCTGGGTTTTCCATCCTGACGTGGGTTTAGCCCCCAAATCTCCTGCCCCTGATTTCCCACTCTCTTCTGAGAATAGAAGGCGTCCATCCCTCGTTTGGATCTCGTGCCAAGGCAGCGCAGCGCTTTGGAGATAACCTTGTACTTGGCCCGGGAGATCTCGGCTCTAGTCTGGGCTTTATCACTTGCTGGTCATGTGGCTGTGGACAAGTCTCTTTCACTCAGCCTCAGTTTCCTCTACTTGCTCTCTTCAGACCTCAAGGAGGGCGAATGCAAAGAAAATGGCCCATAAACTATAATTCGCCACAGGGATGTGAGTTAGACTGGAAGCTCCTTGAGGGCAGGGGCTGTCTTTTGTCTCTTTTTACATCTCCAGTGCTCAGTGCAGGGCCAGGCACACAGTAGGAGCTTACTGATTTTTCTAACTTATTTTTACTGTTTACTGATTAACTGAGTGAGGTTTTCTTTTTCCTTGTCACAACGCTGGGCCCCCAGGGCTGTGGATTCCTTAAGCATTGGCCCTGAGGCTCTTCCTTGGGGTTTGGACATGCCGATGAAGAGGCTTGGAGAAAAGTATCCTGAGAATACTTTTCATCCTGTCAGACTGATCCGGCTTGCTATGCTCCTCACCAGGCATAAGCAGCTGAGGCAGCAGCAAAACAAACCCCAGAAGAGATCAGAGCCCACCCAACCCAAAAGAAAAATCAATGCCCCCCCCCCCCCCCAAAAAAACCCAACATGGAGAGTTGCAATCTCTGTGCTGGAGCTCATCCAAACACTGTAGGGAACAAGGTCATTGTACAATCACACCTGACGTAAAAGCAGAGTCACGTGACCCTCCACCTGTTCATCCACCTCCTAAACCCTCAGTTTCCTCATCTGTAAAATGAATGAGTTGGATGAGCGCTGCTGAGGTCCCTTTCAGCTCCAGATTCGTGATCCTAAAGCTAGAAGAGGCCGAATCCAACGATCTCATTTTACAGATGAGGAAGAGGCAAAGTGACCTTGCCCAAGGTCACAGTCAGAATGTGAACCTGGGGTCCTCTGACTCTAAAATCCGGCATTCTTTGCACATTTGTGCTGTGTTGGGAGGTTTGCAAAACGGTCTGCATGCATTACCCTGACATCTCAAAACAGCTCGTGAGGGAGGTACTGCAGATATTATTATCCCCATTTTACAGGAGAGGAAACTGAGATACAGAGAGGTCAACAGATTTGTTGGAGGTCACACAAAAGAATCAGCATGAGATTAGAATCCTGCTTCCAAGACTCTAAACTCCTACATATGGATTAGCACACAAGGCCAAAGATGCAGCTGGGTAGAGTAAGGTGACCTAGTAGATAGAGAAGCTGGGGGTGGAGTCAGGAAGGCCTGAGTTCAAATTCAGCCTCAGATACTCATAGCCGAGTGACCTGGGGCAAATCACTTCACTTCTCCTTGACTCAATTTCCTCATCTGTAAAATGAAGATACGAATAGCAGTTTCCTCCCAGGGTTGTTGTGAGGACCAAACAAATGACACGTGTAAAGGGCTTTGCAAACCTTAAAGACCCGGCGATATTATCACTGGTTCTTATTGCTAGAAGGGATCCCATACTCGGCCGACTCCCCAACCCCTGTTTCTCATCCTGCCCTTCTGTGCTCCCTACAATGAGCTTTTGTTCCTGGCTGTGAGTGTGTGTGTGTGTGTGTGTGTGTGTGTGTGTGTCAAAGTCTCTGTGTGCCTGTGTGTGTGCTCGAGTAGTGAGTGTGTGTATGTATGCGTGAGTAAGTCTCTGCATTAGTGTGTATGTGTTTGTGTGTCTCTGTGTTAGTGTGTGTGTGTGTGTGCTCGAGTGTGAGTATGTGTGTGTGTGTGTGTATGTGTTGTGTTGCTGCTGTGGGGGAACAGGGAAGGGATGGTCTATTATGCTATGGAAATGCTTGTTTTATTCCATATGTTAAAAAGAAAATAAAGAAAATTTTAAAAAGAAAAGACAGAAAAACTGAGGCCCATAGGTAAGAAGAGAGCAACCCCTCTGGCCTCCGCTGTGGTTGAGAGGTGGAGTTGGCCCCAGAACCCAGACCTCTTTCCCTTCACTTTCTGATCCACTGTTCCCCACCCCCCAAAAGCCCCTTTCACTCACCATCTGCTTCCTCCTCGGCTACCTCAGAAGTAACAAGTCCTGAGAGTGCCTTGGAAGGGCTGAGCTTCTACAGTCCAATGCCTCAGCCCAGGGTTTCCAGGGAAGCATCTGCTGAGTCCACAAGGGGAACCCACACCTTCCCATGGCTGCAAACCACCCCCGTTCAGCCCCAAACCCGCCATGTGTGAGAGCCACACTGGCCAGCAGCCCTCAGGCCCCCGCGGGCCCCTGCTCAGCACCTAGGCAACCGAGCAGCCCTGGACGCGCCATTTCTGAGGCTCTGCTTTTGGAACTGTCTGATCGACAGGTTATGTTTCCAACCAACAAAGCCACAATTAAAATAATATTCCGCTACTGGGTGTCTTGATCCTCTTATACGTTCCATATGGCCGGGAAAGATACAATAATCGCTGGCTTTCAGGATTCCCCCGGCCCCTATTCTTAAATGGCTGTCATTAATCTTAGAGATCAAAGAAGAAAACAACTCAGAATCAAGCACGACAGAAGGCGATGGGAGAGAGGTACCAAGTAGATGCTTCAAAGGCTGAGATATGGATTTTACCCTGATGAAATTAACAAAAGGACTTCAGAGCACCATATTAATTGTCTTGGGTCCAGTTTTCTCTACCCCCATCAAAATAATGTTAAATAAAACCTTCTTTTCCCCAGTCTATGGTGAAGAAAAATGTATTTTCAAGGCCTGGGAAGTATTGCAGAGGGAAATAAAACATTTCTAATTTTTAATCCATTAAGCAAAGACAACCAGGCACTGAGCTCAAAGAAAAAGTATTTCTAGTACAAAAATCCTTCAGTTCCAGTGGTGGGGATGCTAGTTCTCTTTTCTGCTATGTGTCTAGGAGAAGTTGCTTTGGTAGCTATGTTCTGGTGAAGGGATATGAGTTTACCACAATGCCTCTCTTGAAACTCACATTCTATTGGATATTTAAGAAGGTGACTGCATAGTTAGCTCTCTAAATCTAGATGTGAGAAAGCATTCCTCTTTGGAAGTGGAACATGGGATCAACGTTGGACTTTATGCCTTCATCCAAGGACCAGCTCGATCTAAAGCTTGGAGATGCTGATCACCAGGAGGTTGGCCACAAGGAAATGGCTTTGTCTCTGGTCATTACAATTCATGAAACACACAGAAGAGCCATAATCTGGATTGAGGAGAGAATGCTCACCCTGATGAAACCACCGAGCTTCTTAAGCTGAGGAATATTTACAGCTTGTTATCACCCTTATTTCATACCCTTGCCCCCAGCGTGGCCAACATCCAGCATTTTCTTTAGCCCATTCTCTTACATGTTTCTAATGAAAATGGGTCATGTTTCCAAAACCTCCTGAGAACAGAAAACCTTTGCATTTCCTGAGACCGACAGGAAGTCATGGAGATGGCCCAAGCAGAAAAGACTCGGTGTCCGCCCCCACCCGAGGTCGGGCTTCGTCGCACCCGCACCCACCCGGGCACTGACTCTACCTTGGGAGTTCTCACAGTTCTCCTCGTCGCTGTTGTCCTGACAATTATCCTCTCCATCGCACACGAAACTCTTGTCGATGCAGAGGCCATTTTTGCAATGGAAGCGGGCCGTGGAGCATAGGAGGGGGTTTGCGGCTGCGAAGGGAAAGGAAGATGAGTTAGCAGGAGGGCCTGGAGATGCGCTGACCTCCTCCTCCACCAGGAAGATGCTCCCATGTGGGGAAAGCAGAGCAGAGGAGGCAGAGCGGGGTCCTCCCGGGCAGAGGGTCGGAGCTCCTAGGCAGGAAGAGCCTTGGGCCAAGCACAGAGCTCGCTTCGAGAAGCAAATGATAGGGCTGTGGAAAGAGCACGCATGCATGCAGACGTGTGTGTACACACACAAACCTGAGCACGCACAAACACGACTACAGAAAATTACATGGAAACATATCTCCACGCGTGAACACTGGAGTAAGAGCCTTCCTTTCGTGTCACAGTCAGCAGTTTTCTCACCTAGTAAGTGACAGGGTTAGATGAGACGATCTTCATGGTTCTTCTGACCTCTAATAGCATATGTTCTAAGGGCCCTTCCAGCTCCTGACATTTCATACTCTAAGGTTTCTCTCTGCCCTGACTTCTAATATTCCATGTTCCATGCTCTGAGAGCCCACTTAGTCCTTTGTTCTAGAGTCTCTTCTGTTTC